GTCCCTTCCCCGTCCACCTTTACTCTTTTCTTTACAATAAGGCTTTCAAATAAACCATGGTTGTACGGCAGTGAAGCATCGGTGTTGAACACCAATGTCATGCTGTCGATGATGATGATGATGATGTTACTCTGGACCAGGAAAAATACGTGGCCAATTTGAGATTGTTGCTCGGAATCGAGCGCCCAAGTCTAGTTGGTTGCACCATTCCTCAACCGGACCACGCAGCATCTTGCGGATTAGCGGACAACACCCAGTAAGAATCAACATCATAAGACTTGATCATCGTGAGGTTCTCTAACAAGATTTTTGTGTAAGTTGCGCGTCCCTGAAACGTGTGAACAGAAGTAGCGATGAACAAGCTCGTGAACCGAATCCACATAGGTCTCTTGAACCAGCGAAAGTCAGTAATAGACTCGCCATTCGTAGCTGGTGGATATGTGGCCTTTCGGTGTTCGAGGTTCGCTTGCATGTGGGGGTGCCATGTGCCCAAGCAACTTCGGTTGTGTTGGAAGTTAATACTGTACCGAAACAGTCTGTGGTCAGTACATACCTGAAGCAGGCGTTCGCCGTTATTCATGCGTCACGATTATAATCCTAGAGCACAGTCCGATTGAGCGCTGCGCATTCAATATATCTAGACAACAATTATTTGGGCTCTTAACCCGCAGGAACAAGACGCTTGGAGCGTTCTAAAAACTGTCTCTGAATGTATCAGAGCTAGTCTGTTGGGGCGTAAGCAGATACAATAAACAGGAAGCGATTATCGGTACAGTTAAGGGTTACTCTCACCAACGTTGCCGGATAGTGAAAAAATTTTTCAGCTGTGACAAACTTTCGGTGTCTAACTGTCACACCACCTGGAGGAAGATGAGAGCTGGGATACTGCCAGTTTGCCCAGAAGAAGTCCAGATGCAGAGGTCGGGTTTGGACCACGGACCTTCTGGTCACTAAGTTCGTGTTCTAACCACTCAGTCATTCGAGCAACCGCACGATTGCGACTATCAGCTGACAACTATTCGAGAAGAGACTCCTCAGCTCAAAACGACATCAACCAGCAGAAACAGCCGCACTGGCTTCTGGACCCCTTGAGGTGTGCAACCAGAGGCGAGATGAGACCTATGGGAGGTTAGTCCAACAACTGTGCTTGGTTTTTGAATCATCATTTTAGAAACAACACGTCAATAAAAAGCGAGCTCAACATTCACGCAAGAACCTGTTGTCCAGCTTGTTTCAAAGTGCAAATGTTGAAGACTGTCAGATGAACTGGACTTTGAGGTTTGAAGAATGACTTCGAAGCGTTTGTGGCCGAGTCGGTCGTAGATATTGTAACTAACAGCAATGGGCGTTGGACGAACCTATCAAGCTTTCTGAATGGACTTACAGAGATGCCGCTAGCTACTGACCAGTCTTGAATAGGAGGCTCTGTAAGGTCACGTACACTCTCCAGCATAGCTCACTGGCAATGGTGGTGTACAAACCGTCACATCACGATGAAGTCGCGTTTTCGTGACGAGAGACTCAAAAGGCGGCCAAAACACAATCGCGTCTCCACAGAACAGGGCCATCTGCGAAAAGTGTGAGTGGGTATGACAAGAAAGACGCGATGTCATGGACCAACTGGCAACTTCACTGGCCGTACATTTAGGTAGTGAGTGAGTGAGTAAGTGAGCGTGAGTGAGTGCCGTAGTACAGGTCCACCTCAGGTATTTTTTTAGGTGTCTACAGCTGCAAGGGCTCAACTGGACAATCTGGAAAGAAGCCGGCAGTACGGACGCCACTAAAATCGACTAGCTGCCATTCCTTGCACTGTCCCTGGCCAAGCGCAAGGGCAATCACGAGAATTGCACGAATATCTGGAAAGAAGCCGGCAGTACGGACGCCGCTAAAATCGACTAGCTGCCATTCCTTGAACTGTCCCCGGCCAAGCGCAAGGGCACGAACAGCACCTAAAGCCTTCGTACTCTTTTTCGGGCCCTCTGAGTTTACAGAGATGCCGCTAGCTACTGACCAGTCTTGAATAGGAGGCTCTGTAAGGTCACGTACACTCTCCAGCATAGCTCACTGGCAATGGTGGTGTACAAACCGTCACATCACGATGAAGTCGCGTTTTCGTGACGAGAGACTCAAAAGGCGGCCAAAACACAATCGCGTCTCCACAGAACAGGGCCATCTGCGAAAAGTGTGAGTGGGTATGACAAGAAAGACGCGATGTCATGGACCAACTGGCAACTTCACTGGCCGTACATTTAGGTAGTGAGTGAGTGAGTAAGTGAGCGTGAGTGAGTGCCGTAGTACAGGTCCACCTCAGGTATTTTTTTAGGTGTCTACAGCTGCAAGGGCTCAACTGGACAATCTGGAAAGAAGCCGGCAGTACGGACGCCGCTAAAATCGACTAGCTGCCATTCCTTGAACTGTCCCCGGCCAAGCGCAAGGGCACGAACAGCACCTAAAGCCTTCGTACTCTTTTTCGGGCCCCTCTGAGTCATCGATTGTCCAACCCGCAGTTTGCATCATTCTGAGAGAGGTAAGGAGAGCAACACTAGTATCGGTAGATGACGTTTCGCTATGCGTAGCAAATAGCTGTGATAGTGTGACTGATCATCATCGACAGAGTGACATCAGTATTCAACACCGATGCTTTACTGCCGTACCTGCAAGCATGAGGTTTGGATTTACTCCCACCCTGTCTCGTAGCAGCACTTTACACCTTGCAGGTGTGAAGCGCATGCCAGACCGTGGGCAGAATTATTTTGGTTAATTTTCATTTTTGGCGAATTTGAACCAAGAAAAGCAATATCGTCCGCATACTGAGTGTCTGTGAGCGAGCGTCTCGGAAGCATTTCATCCCCTGAGGTTCCAGACGCAGTCAGAGGAATTTCAAGCTTGGTTAACAGCACTGACCGATCGACCGACAGAATCGAGCGCACGCTTGGAGTCAAGGGACACTAAGATTGTAGGTCATCTGTACTAATGGCGTTGCTCTAACACCTGACGAAGTGTGAAAACGTCGTCAACATAGCCTTTACCCGGTCGAAACCCCGCTTGATGCTCACGGGTCACGTTTCGCGTATCGTCTTAGACGACGGAAAAACGGTGACGCCAGGGGCTTTGCCACAACTGGAGTTAAACTGATGCCCATGATGTTTTTACATCCATTGTGAGTACTTTTTTTTTAAATGGACACTATTTTCAGTTCACCGCAGCTGTCTTGGACAGTCTCTTTCTACCATACATATGCAAACAAGGTAGACAGTCACTGGTTTCGGAATCCGTCACTAAAAGTCGGTAACGATAACACTTGATTGACGAATACACTGGGACACTTCTGAGGCTGAATGGGGCTCCATATTCTCAGTCTAGGTTTCTGTCAAACGCCGACAGTCCGTGTTGGAGTTATCAGGTTGTCAACGAATTTTTCAAAGTACTATGCCGCATTGTCCTCATTCTGTTGGTTGAGTGGTATCGCTGTGTCTTGGAGTACTACCAGTCGCTGGTGTAGTGGGTATCCTTATCCAAACTTCTCAGATGACAGACACCAGCACAACCAAGATCCACCGGTATCGTTACGGTCAATTTAAGACAATTGCATTGAACATTGAAAAGTAAATGATGCTCACCGAAAAGTTTACGGAATTGTGAAAAATTCAAGTCACTCGTGTTTGGGGACCAAAAGCTCGTGAACTGGTCGTGCTCGAGGGTTCCAAGTTTTCGAACCAAGCGACCTGATTTCCATGCATTATCAGTAAGCTTATTCTGGAAATTATCTTTCCAGCGTTTGTGCCATGAATCGAACGTGAGGCCGGATGCTGCTGCTGCTGCCGGTAACAGTTGCTGCGATCGAATCTGTCTTGTACAAGAAACCGCCATTTTGAGATGGGGTCGATGTCTTAAGGCTGATAACTGAAGTGAGAGACTGAATTAATCACAGTCGCCATTGCTTGAACTGCGCTTGTTGCTGTTGAGGAATTGCTTTGAAATCCTCAGCTGAAATTGACAGGCCTGCTAGCAAACGGATCTGTTCGTTTGCAGTAAGTCCTCCTAACAGGTATGTTTTTCATGCTCTAGGCCCTGCACTGAGTCGTGTTTGCTTACACATTAACTGGCTGTAGCTCTGGCACCATGAAAGGCACGTTTTATGACGCCTTGAATGTCCTGTTGCGGTGGACTATAAGCTCAGATATTATTGTGGTTGCCAGAGATCTGAATGCACAAGTGAGCAGGCTTGACGCCCCTGAGATTCAGTTAGGTGGCCGATATGGACTGAACTCGGTACGTATGGACTATAGTGAACGGCTGCTTTAGTTGTGTGCTAACCGCGAACTATATTAAATAATAGTAATTCTTCAGCTGTAGCACCCTTTCGGTGCCTACCTGCCGTGCCACCAGAAGGAAGCAAGAGGGCTGTGATACTGCCAGGTTGCCCAAGTCTAGACCGGGGAAGTCAAGGGGCAGAGGTCGGGTTGGAACCATGGACCTTCTGGTCAACATAGTCGACCACAGGCAGTTTTTATACGGTATTAACTTCCGAAATAGCTGAAATCGTCTGGCCACATGGCATCCTTCAACAGTGTACCGGCCACAAACTCAGATCAATCACATTCTCATCAGTCATCGATGACGCGGATCAACGGCTGACTCCCGCTCGTTTTGGAACTTATTTGTGGATTTCAACTACGTACTCGTCCGGAGTCGCTTCTCCCACCAAGAGCCGCGTAAAAATCGCCTGGCAACTGAGAGACTGGCAGATCGGGATGTTAGACGAATTTACCGGAATCGTCTTCCAGAGTCTCTTCCCAATGCTCCGCCATCAGATGTGAACTAATACTGGAACGAGATTGCCACCTACTTGCAAAATGCAGAGAGTTCTGCTTGTGGCACGGTGCTATGAGGCTCACTCAAGCACTGGATGTCAAACAGAATAATACCTTTTCTTGAATCTCGGAGAAATATCCCATCCGGTTCCGAACATAATTCGGCCCGATGAATTATCAGGCGTCAACTAGAAGTGAGCGCGCGAGCCGACTATGAAGTCTGGTGGACAAGCAGTCACTGAACACGCCACCTACAATCCTGGGAGAGACTCGAAGTTGTGGCATGTTTTACGCACCTTGGAAGTTGTGTTAGTTCTGATGGTAGTGTGACAGATGAAGTAAATGCACGAATCTGCAAGGCTCAGGTTCCGCTTGCTAATTTGAGACACCTATGGCGTCAAAGGTTGTATCCCTAAATCTCAAGGGACGTGTGTGTCAAGCTACGGTGTGGGCCGTCTTGTTATATAGCTTTGAGGCCTGGCCTGTTCGCGCAGCGGAACTGAGACGTCTTCAGGTGATCAACAATCCTTTGGTTCAGAATCACAGCTCCTGTGGGTTGGTGTTGGAGAATACGTAACGAGGCAAATGGAAAGCAAGTTTTTGATTGTGCGACGGAAACTTCTCGCCGGACATATCTTGTGGTTTTTCAGTGTTTCATGGCTTCCATGCATTAACCAGACGTCCATATCGATCCATATCAGAAATTCATATGGGGCGAGATGGCCCAAGTGGTTAAAGCGCGAAGGTCCGTGGTTCGAATCCGACCTCCGCCTCTCGACTTCCCCTGTCTAGGCTTGGACATCCTGGCAGTATCCCAGCTCTTGTGCTTCCTTCGGGTGGCATGGCAGCTAGGCCCCGGAAGGGTGCTACAGCCGAACGAACGAAATTCATATCGGTGCTTCAGCTAAACGATTTTTTCTCATACCTCCGTATGGACTGCTGGCGTTCTTGTTGCCAGTTTATCCAAATTGTTTGAATGAATGTCTGGAGGCGTAGGCACCACGGAATGATTGTAGTAAGCTAGTAGTAAATTCCTTCCCTGTCCACCTTTATTTTTCTTCACAATGTCTTCTAAATAAATCACGGTTGTAAGGCAGCGAATGTCAGTGTTGAACAATGATATCATGTTGTCCATGATGATGATGATGATGTGCCTTACTGGATTAGGTTCCAGTAAACAGTCGCCTTAGCGCCTTTCGGTTATCTATGCTAAGTGTCACT